GAGACAGAAAGCGAGAAATCACCCCCCAAGGGGGGGGTGGCCATACCGCAATCCCTTCTCCTCCATTCTCCTCTCGGGATCTTGGGCACTTACGCACACGCGCCCGGTGTGAGTTTCAAGCACCGGGTCCGGGACTCGAACCACAGTCGACTACATGGGAGTTCAGTGACATAGCCATTATGCTAACTGCTGGTCTCTCCTCAGGTTTTTAATTTACAAACATTAAAAATGAGGTATTTACTATGTTCCCCATTCTACTACCCATCAATTTAAAATATATTTCATGTATATGTTTTGTTCATGAATTTAAAGTTCTGTGAAATAATAAACAATACAAACCTGTATTGTTCAAGGAAAACTGTCAGAAATGCATATCTTGCTAGAAACACTAAGTGACCAATTAATGAATGACAAGGACAAAGCAGGAAATGTGGTCTTGAATCAATTTTTCACTATTATTTACTACTAAGTACTATAAAGTAGCCTTTATCTTATGTACAATGGCATATTTACAATGTACGGCATCTGAATAAATGTATACAATTGGATATATTGAACTAATAGGGAAGAAATTACGAGATGGCTGTTTTTATTGTTATTTAATAAACTGACTGAGAAACAAAAAGTTAATCTAAAATGCCCTTCTTTATGTATGGAATTTTACAAGGCTGGGAGGAATATAGATACATATTTTCTTATACTAAAATAACAATATAACAATGAAAGTATAAACCAAAAATGAAAGGAAATGGCTACTAGAGGAAAGGTAATAGGAAAACGTATTGAAACTATACTTCTTTGAATATATTGTTTCAATATTTGCACATGGAACTATGTATTTTACATAATTTTAAAATTAAACTCAAAAAGCAAGTCCTAAAACTCAAGAGCAAAATGAACAAGTAAATCTACCTATCTAAAAGCGGGTAGCATAACTAATACTATAGAAAATAACATTTTTTCACACTTCAGGGCATATGCCCTCACCAGAGACAGACAGATAGAGAGGGAGAGGAAAAAGCACCCACCATGGCTCATGGCCACACTGTAATCCCGTCTCTTCCATCTCTCCCCTTTTCAGAATTTCAGGTATGCAAGCATACGTCCACGTGTTTCTCAAGCCATCAGGTCCAGGACTCAACTGCCATCAGCCATGTGGGATCCAGCTGCTTTAACCATTGGGCTATGAAGCCATCCTGAAAAGAACTTTTGAAGTGACTTTAAAACATAATTTTCTGACTGAACATATCTAATGTGATATGCCCTAAAGATTTAAAATGAAACAAAACAAAAAAAGCCCTTCAAATAAGAAGTCTTAATCTGTTTCTAGGAATGATATTTTTTATTATATTGGCATCACGCATTGGGTGCGATAAAGCCAGTAAGCAACAATGCTCGCATCAGTGGGAACTGACATTTTTAGTACAGAAAAAGATGCAAAATAGGGGCCAGCAGGTGGTGTGGTGGTTAAGGGCATGGCCAAATGCAGTTCGAGTCCCAGACCTGGCGGCTTGCTTTCTCTCTCTCTCTCTCTCGCTCTTATTCTCGCTCTCGCTCTACCCCTCTCTGGTCAAATTAAAATAAATAAATAAAGTTGGGGAAAAAAGATGCAAAATAAGTTAACCTAAGACCGTAATAGCCTGATTTGAATAGAAAATGTCACTGTATTCATGATTTTATGCACACATTTCTCAGCTCAATCCATTGAAAGGGTCTTGAAGAAATGATAAACTTCATAACAGTGTGGACCCATATGCCCAGATTAGAGTCTCTAATTATCATTTCTAACTCAAAGAAAATGAGGACTTCTTAAAAACAGATTCCAGGTCTGAGGCAGGAATACACAACATATACCTGAAACATTTTGTCATAACAAAAACAAACAACCATCAAATTCTACTTAAGCTTGTCAAATCTCAAGAGCCAATTGGAAGAGTCACCTGGTGGTCAAGAATGGGGTAATTTGAGTATCAATTATAAGAATGCCTGTCATGGATTGAAATACTTCAAATGTGTTTATATCCATGAGGTTATAGTAATCCTAATTAAAAAAAAATAAAGGTCACATTTAAAGGTGTTATTTTACCAATTTATTATTTTTTTAATGGGTAGAGGGAAATGATCAAGCATTTATCCCATCTTTCCTTTATTAACATGCCTTGGAATAATCCGTAGTCACTGAGAAAAGCTTCCTTTTATATGGCAGTATAGCTAGAAAGATTGGATAAAGAAAGAATGAATGATAAGATCAGAACAGCACTATTTTCTTTTTCTTTTTTTTGGAGAGGTTTTCACTATAGGGCACGTGCGCTCACCAGACAGACAGAGAGAGACAGAGAGACAGAAAGCGAAAAATCACCCACCGGGGGGGATGGCCACGCCGCAATCCCTTCTCCTCCATTCTCCTCTCGGGATCTTGGGCACACACGCACACGTGCCCAGCGTGAGTTTTAAGCCACTGGGTCTGGGACACGAACCACGGTCGACTACATTTGAGTCCAGTGACATAGCCATTACGCTAACTGCTGATTCCCAGAATAGCACTATTTTCAAAGGACTAATGAATTAATGGCTCTAGAAAATAATCAATGCTACTAACAACTCAAAAAGAGGAAAAAAAAACATATCACATGCTTCCTTATAGAACAACAAAACAAAGGTAAAGTAGCCCTTTAGAGAAAAAAAAAAAAAGAACAGCAACAACAAAAACAAACTTGCATAGCATCAAGCTTCTAGGTACAACTCTAAATTCATAGGAAATAGGACAGAGGAACAAGTTACAAGGCAATAAGCAAATTCCAGAATGTAGTATACTTTGCTTTTGCTCATCGGTTTTATCAAGAAACTGTGTGTGAGAGAGAGACAGAAGAGAGAGCTATAGATTAGGAGAAATTTAAGAGACTGAAATGATCAGAATGCGTCCTGACAGAAATTTGTATATTGAGGGGCCAGCAGGTGGCGCAGCAGTAAAGGCATTGAACTCTCATGTGGTCAACCAGTTTGAGTCCCAGACCCAGTGACTTGAAATTCTCCCAAGAGGAGAATGGAGAAGGCATGGTCATTCCACCATGGGGGTGATTTCACAATTTCTCTCTCTCTGTCTCTCTCTATCTCTCCAGCAAGCACACATGCCCAAGAGCAAAAATCTCTCAAAAAGAAAAAGAAATTCATGTTTTGAAACCCTAACTCCCAAGGTGATGTTAATAGGAAATGGGACATTTTGAAGGTAATTAAGTCATGAAGGTGCTGCCCTCATGAATGGGTTGTGTCTTTATAAAAGGGACCCCACGAAACTCTCTTGTCTTCTTTCTGCCATGTGGGGCCACAACACAGAAACATGGCAGTCTGTAACCTGGTAGAGGGCCCTCACCAGAGCCAGACCATGTCGACACTCTGACTTCCAGCCTTCACGATTTTGAGAAATAAATTCCTGTTGTTTATAAATCACCCAGTCTGTGGTACTTCATCATAGCAGACTGAACCAAGGCAAGATATATGAACCAATTGTAATGTGTGAACTTAATTGCAATTCAGATTTAAATGAGTAAACTGTGTGGGAAGCAGTTGTGAAACAATGAGGAATATTTGAATATTGACTGGATACTCAACATAAGGAATTACTTTGTATTATTTTAAGTGGAATAATGGCATGGTTGTGCTTTTATTTTAAAAATCCTTTCCTTTTATACAGACACGCTGAAATACAGTTACAATGATAAGATATTAGAGATTTGCTTCGGAATCATCTGAGTGGAGGGAAAATGGGAGGGTTGTAGATGAAACTTGCAAATAGTTCACGTGAATGATTCTCTCTACTTTTATATATGTTTATCATTTTCCACATAAAAAGTATTAGAAATAAACAAGATGCTCACATGGTAGGGCTAGGCCTGAAGAAAGGAAATGAGATTTCCAAAATTCAGAGTTACTTAAGGAAGAACAAATATTAGAAGAAAAATATTAGTGGTTTGAGTTGCAAAATGGTGTTCCTTTTATATGCTATACTAAAAACATAATTTATGGAAAAATAAAATACTTATTATCAAGAACTATTAAGGAAATGGGAGAAAAGAACTTTACCAAAGATATAATATCTATTACTTCATTTAGAGATGAAAGAAATGTGTCTAAAAGGCAACCATGGCTTGTGGAAAGCTGTGATTTTGGTGCATATCTTATTTACCTAACAATTCCCTGCTTTTAAAGACCACCCAGTTAGCATCTTCACTACACTTACTTTTACATACAGGCGAAATCTATGAATGATTGCAGACTCCTTTAGTGACACCCAGCAAGGATTCTATGTATTATCTTGCTAGTCTTGTAGTCTTCAGCAAGAGAGGGTTGAAAGAAGCAGGAAAGTCCTCTTCCAACTCCTGTTTTGGATGTGGCAAAGAAAAGAACTAAGCCTGCTTGCAACAAAGGTTGTCCAGTATGGCCCTGGTGTAAGAGGAAGTTCCATATGCAGTCCCACATTTAAATTTCCCTTTCTCCAAAACGTAAAATAATTCTGCTTCCATGGTCTGAAAGACTATGGACTGAAAATCCTTTGTAATATTGAAGAAGTACCAAGTAATTCTGGCTGATTTAGGAGCAAGAGGTTCTGGACATAGAAAAATGCTGTATATCAGAAACCCTTAAGGGTTCTCCATTCTGAAGATGGATACAGAAGAGGGGGATTGCTGTTTCCACACAATTGAAGCGTCCCTTCCTTACACTGATTTCCGAAGACAGTGTCTTGATGTCTGAAGTTTTATGGCCATTCTCAAAAGCACAACTTATCCTGATGTTTCAAAGGCCCCCAAAGTTGCTGAAGTCCGGGGGTATGAGTCACCTTGCTCTATTTGGATGAGTAATTTCAGGTGTCACTGGAACCCTGTTCCGAAGTAGAGAGGAGGGGGCGTCAGATTTGCAGACGGAAGACAGGCCCCATCAGGATTGGATGGTGAGACCTTGATTTTCCTAAAATTGCGTCATTTCGTATCCAATTGGGTCCAGATGTTATGGGCATCGACGAGTTACTGTCTCGGAAACTCAATCACGCAAGCGAAAGGAGAGGAGGTGGCTAATTAAATATTGAGTAGAAAGTCGCGTGGGGACAGTATCACGTGGCTCGCGGTTCGTCGAGCCTGGAATAAATACTGCGAGGCACTGAGCAGGCAAAAGAGCGCTTTGGGACCTCCTCCACGGCAGCAGCAACCCGCGAGTGCAGAGCGACCAGCGCGCGCTCAGACCAGCCCGAGGACCCCCGCAGGCGGGTTGGCCACAGTAAGTGCTCTCGCGGTGCCGGTCGCGGCTGCAGGGCTTTCCCCGCCACTCGTCTGTCGGAGGTGACAGCGCTGAGGGCGCCGCTGCAGAGAGGGGCCCGGGAGAGCGGTTTCCCCATGCCAACGCCCCTCTTTGTCTTCCACCTGCAGGACCTGGTGGCTTGAAGGTGTGGGTGGTAGGCTGGGGACATGCAGGGGTGGAGATGTAGGGAGAAGGGGGTTTGAGACTCTTCCAGGGGAGCGATTCTCTTTCCCGAAAAAGTACAAGCGAGGCTTTAGCCCGTTTTTCCTCTTGGTTCAACCCGATCTGAGTTGCGTGGTGGGACCAAAAAATTCTGTCCCACCTCTTGGGTAGCTAGCTACACCTACATATATGTGTATGTTTTTCCCCCCTCTCCTCCGTCTCTTTCCCACTGCTCTTTCCAGAAATCCGACATGAAAATCCTCGTGGCCTTGGCAGTCTTTTTTCTCGTCTCCTCTCAGCTGTTTGCAGAAGAAATCGGAGCCAATGATGATCTGAATTATTGGTCCGACTGGTCCGACAGCGACCAGATCAAGGTGAGACCCGGGGCTAGGACAGTCCGCGGCGTTCTTCCTGGGGCTGGGATCTGTTCCTTTCCCCTCTGGCAGCGCCCTCGTTAGCCTGGTGGGCACCGCGATCTGAGCAGCAGACGCGTGCGGGAGGGCGTAAAGGGGCGCCCCTTTCCGGGTCCCGCATGGGATTCTGCGCCCACGAGGCAACTTTCCTCCCGAGGGCTGCATCTTACAGACTCGGGAACTCCCGGAAGGAGCGACGCCTTCCCGGGTGAGCCCCGTACCCTCACAAGGTTTCGTTCCCAAGTAAGAGAGATTTCGGGACTCCAGTCCATCCGCACCACTCCAAATGTTTAGAAAAGCGAGACGCAAGCAGAGCGCGAGCGCGGACCGCCGGCCGAAGCCGGGAGTCAGGGAGAGGGGTAGCCAACTTCCAGCCTGCAGATTTACTGGCCGACCTGAGGACGAGTTTTCTTTCAGATGGCTCACGGGGTGCCGCGGGCAAACTGTGCAAGTCACTCATACTGGGTGGTCACCCTTCCCCGCCCAAACCCGCTCCACCTACACTTGTGCGCCTTTAGGGTGGGGAGTGGTTCCGAAGCCGGCTAGAGAGACAGGAAGAGGGAGAGACAAGACTAACTCCGGGGAAGGCGAGGCAGGCGACTGGCCCTAGGGTCCCTGGACTGGAGGGAAGAAACTGCTCAGGCTAAAAACGCCGTGCCGGCTTGGGCGGGCACACAGGCTTAGGCGAGGCAGTCGCGTTGGACACAAGTTCTGCGCGGAGGCACGGAGAGGTGTAGCTCTCGGTAGAGCCAGCTCCTTCTCTGCGGGGAAAGCCTGCCTCCTCTCGCCTTCCTCCGGGGCTGGATTTCCCGTCCAGGGCCCGAGTGCACCACCCGTGCCGTGGCGTTGCCGGGCGCCTCGCTCTGGTTGCCCACACGCTGGTTTGTCGGTGCATGTGTTTCCTAGGAGGAGCTACCGGAGCCCTTCGAGCATCTTCTGCAGAGAATCGCCAGGAGACCCAAGCCTCAGCAATTCTTTGGATTAATGGGCAAACGGGATGCTGGTGAGATGGACAGCCGTCCTTAGGTCTCTCGGGGGAACCCGCCTAGTCTGTTCTCTTTACCCCGGGGGCGTCCATCTGTCTCTTCCTCTTTGAGTAGAGATGTCCACCCTAAGAGAGGTGTTACTCCCGGGCGTGACTGCCCGCGCCTTGCTAACGTACTGTACCCACATGGCTGCAGAAAGAAGGGAAGATCCCTTCAAGTGCCTTGGGGTACCAGAGTGGCCAAAACCTTATCTAAGTGTTCCCTTGACCAAAGATCCAGATCAACAAAGAAGCGGGAGGAATGGGGCCTCCAGGGGGGCCAGTGACCCCTCCAAGTGCACGTGAAAGCTGATTTACAGCGGGCCCTGGGAATAGACCAGATTTGGTTGCCCCTTGTTTCCTGATAGAAATAATGTTTCCCTAAATTAATTGCACCATCAGTGGACCGTGTAAATATAATAGTTAATGTCAATTCGTCTCTTATCAGATTCCTCAATTGAAAAACAAGTGGCCCTGTTAAAGGCTCTTTATGGTAAACATTCCTATACATCTTTATTTTACGATTGTGAATGCACACGGGCTGAATTACAAGATCTTGATCATACCTGTTTAATAAAAAGATGGATTTGCGTGCCTCTCTTTCTCTCTTTCTCTGTGTCTCTCTTTCTCTGGCCAAATGAAATGCCAGTTTTGAAAGATGAGTGATCTTATAACCTTATGGTTAATAACAAGTTTCAAGAGTGTCATGGTCCTGGGTTTGAATTCATGGCCTTACAAGGCACTTGATAGATACTCATTTTATTTATATTTTATTAGCATTTACTCTTCTGCTATATTCACAGGATAGTACATAAATGGAAAATGCTACATATTTTAAAAATTAATTTGTCTCTTTATAATTAGTTTTGTTCCAGTTTTTTTAAATCAAATCCACCTGTTTGCTAATTTTATCATTCTTTCTTCTAGGACATGGCCAGATCTCCCACAAAAGTAAGTTCAGTTTTATTTTGACATTTATCAACTGCGAATGTAAATTACAGAGTTCCACTTTATGTAATATCTTACCTTCTTGTCTGTCATAACTTCAGAGTTAATGTTTTAAGCTAAGACAATGTAAGAATAGCACAGACTCATAATACATCCAGAATATGATTATTTAAAGCTCTGCTATTTAGACATACTGTACTTATTACAGATGCCTTGTATTTAAAAAATCTTTAACTCTTATAAATTGTTAGTTTTAGATAAGAATTTCAATTTTAGCATTAGAAATCCATCACACACACTTTTTTTCCCATCCTACCTCACACCCACTTCCACTGCAAAAAAAAATAACAAACCACCCCAAGGAGTTTGGGGTATCTTCCAGTTTCTCGTGGCATGCTAGGTCCCATACCACACCGTCTATTAGGGTTATCCAGAAGTCAGTTAGATGGAGTAGATGAATATCTGAATAAGAATGCATACTAAATATACTGTTGGATAGAGACACAGTGTTTTACTCCATGCTTGAATGGGAAATCTCCATCTATTAAAGCACAGTGACACCTTTTTTTAGGGTAGTGAAGATGGCTGAATTATGGCACTTGAGGCTCATTAGATTCCAGTGTCTCAGTCACTGGATCCAGAATTGACAGGAGATCCCATGGACCCACCTTAATCATATTGTCTGTCCACTTTCATACCCTGAGGTTTGGTTCAAAGGTGGCAAATCAGAACACAGTAAGGTAGCAGCCATATTCTCAACTACTATGGTAAAACCAAGAGACGTTCTCCCACTAGCATTAAAATAATAACCCTTTCCAAAAACTTTATATTTGAAAATAAGTAAATATTCTTCATATTTACTTTGGCTTTCAAGGAAATATATATAGCAAAATTCTATGTAATAACAGTAAATGTATTTTATGAGGGTCAAAATTAATATACTTTACCAAAAGGAGTACTTTATAAAATTCAATAAAATAGAAATAGTGATTTTTTTTTAAATTATAATCAAGGATAGAGATCCGACTTAATCAAGGTTTACGTGCTGAGAAATACAATCTATTCAGTAACATGAGGAAATAAGCTCGGACATTTTACTCTCACATAAATGTGAAAGTGACTCCCTAAAAATCAAAGCTAGCTCACGTGGTAATACTATTTAAAACTTTATATAATAGATAACATATAATATGAATAAAGGGCTCTTCCTAGTTAGGGAATTGAGAAAAGTGCTTTCACTGAATTGTTTTAGTATCATTTATAAGAATTATGAGAAATCTTCATTTCCTCAGACTTACCAAAACTTGAAATAGATATATATTTACTATATAGGCAATATAAAGAAGCTTGTTTTTTTTTTATTTTTGGGTTTTTTTTTTTGTACTGGTTATAACAGTTTATTTCCTCAAGGCATACATATTAAAATACCCCTAAATGTATTTTTCCAGGGCATAAAACAGATTCCTTTGTTGGACTAATGGGCAAAAGAGCTTTAAATTCTGGTATGTATAAAATCATAACTGAAAATAGACAGTTTCTCAAATCTACTTCTATTTTTTTCCTAAGAGATAGTAGGCTTAAAATGAGTATTTATGGTGAAAAGAAATTGAATTGCAATACTTGTAACCAATAACCCACTTTATAGCTGATCAAGCTAATATCACTGCAATATTCTCTCTCTCCAACCACCAGCCTCACCTGAACACTCCCCATCCTGAATTTGTGCTTGTCTTAATAAACTTTCCAGTAAATGTGTTAAATAAGCCAGATTTAACCTGACTGAACTAGGGAGCAGTCCAACAAGGTATGAGACTAATTTTTGTTACCAAAGTATTTTGAAAGTTTTATAAGACATAACACCCTACAATTTTCCAACACAAAAATAAACAAATAAATAAAACACACACTCACTAGTTCTTTATGAAATTATAGAAGATAAAATGTAAATATCCTAACGGATGTTTAAGAGGATGAGGGTGATGCGATCCATTCCAATGCCTTCAGAAAGGAACACAATCGAATCATCCTAGAGTGTTATAAATCAGTTTCAGCTAAAAACCCACAGAGAGAAGACACAGCACAATTCTCATAACCCATTTTAATTCTGAACAACTCTCACTTGATATAAAGGCCACATATTTTCTCTCTTACCACCTTCTATGTAAATGCCACACATAGAGATCTGAAAATTCCTACTTTTTAACTCATTCATCATACTGTTTTCAAGGTTAAATAACTTCTGAATCATCATAGAAACTGAATTTTTAAAGCACATTTGGGTCTTATAGCCCTTCACTTAAGCTCATTGGAAAAGTAATTCAAATTCTCTTTATTTTTACCTTCAGTAAAATAGAATAAAAATATTATCTAATTAACTAGAAAGTATTCAGCATCTATCATATTCACAGCTAAGGTGTGCTGGCTTAATTTTTTATATATCTGAATTCATTAAAAATAATTAACTTAATATTTTTATTGGTTCACCATTTTCCATGTTTAGACACTAACTTTGTATTTTCTCAGCAATAATTTTGGGGCTGATCAAGTTTAAATTTTAGAGGTTACATAGTAATCTATGTAACCAGTGTACCTGCATAAAGAAGTTATCGCTGTTTTTATTAATATGTTTAATTTCCTTGCTTTTGGAAATGGAATATAAATTTAAACCACAGAGGTTTTTATTCCTCAATTTTTGATAGTCATATTAATTATCAACCCTCCATTTCCAGAATTTATATAGGTTTCAGAACATGCTCAACTTTAAAAATAATGCAGATACTGATCAATTTAGAACAGATTATGTGCTAGTAAACATAAAGTAACAATGTAATTATAGGTAATAATAAATAGAATCACTTTAAATCAGAACCAATTTACAATTACATCTTAGTTCTTCCATTTTAGCTTAAGAAAACATAAAAGGAAAATAAATCAGAAAAATGTAATACAATCAAGGATCTTTGCATCCATTCAAGGTTATCATAGTCTTATTCTACAGTCATCTGATCCTCATCCCTTCATAGACACAGACTCCTTTGACAATCTTTTAAGTCTAGAAACCCTCTCCCAGAGAAATCTTCCTTTGTTCATCCATACAGAAATTTACCCTCAGGTCCAAAGGGTAAGGTCCTCAAGGACCAGGTAAGACACTCCACTTTCATGTAAGAGGACATTATGGTTCAGTAATTTGTTTTTAGCTAGTTTATGTTAGCATTTGTCTCACTTCTCTGAGTCCGAGTCATGCTACCTAAAGCTTATCTAGGACTGGATTTGGCTAGTCTTCCTCCTCCTAATATGAACAAACCAGAATGAGAAATGAACCATTTCCTTCCTTTTGAACTGTCCAATTCTAAAGGGCTCAGAGGGTTCCACCTCAGAAGCACGTGCATAATTGATGTAAAACATTAGTCTTATTGTTAGTCTTACTGAAAGAACAGTTGGATGTAAAAGATTGGTATTACAGGAGTAGGTGCCTTGAGCCAGCAGGTAGCATAGTGGTTCAGGCACTAGATTCCCACATGGCCACTTGAGGTTTGGTTCCCAGACCCGATGGTTTGCTTTCTCACTCTCACTTTCTGTCTGTCTGTCTCTGTCTCTCTCTCTCTTTCTCTCTCTTTCCTGGGAACACACATGTCCTATCTCTTGTCAAATTGAATAATAATAAATAAAACTAAATAAATAATTCCTTAAAAAAAAAGAATAAGTGCCTTTATCTACCTTCTCTCTTAACAAGGCCTTCTCAATGAAGAAATGGTTTAGAGTACTTATGATTCCTGCAGATCTTTCACAAGCTACAAATCTTTGACAGAATCTGAAAGATGTGTAGGAATCATAGATGCTACTCATGTTTCTATTTAGACTCTGTATTTTCTACAGGGCACAGTGAATTTCAAAAGGCACAGTAGTTTTGCCATAACAAATATCTAAGTGTTTAAAATATTGGCTAAGATGATGAAAAATATCTTCAGGTATTTTGATCACAAAGGTCTGTTTCTTATACTTCTGTAGTTACAGATCCCTTTGAAATTATACAATTAATGGGGCTGGCAGGTGGTGTGGTAATTAAGGGCGCTGGACTCCGACATGGGCGACCACAGTTTGAGTCCTGGACCTGGTGGCTCGCTCGCTCTCTCTCTCTCTCTCTCTCTCTCTCTCCTTCGTGTGCACGTGCCAAATTAAAATAAATAAGCAAATAAAATAAAGTTAAATAATTCTTTTAAAAAAAGAAATTATATAATTAATATAATTTTGACATTTGTTTTTGTACATATAGCCTAAGCACTTAGATTAGTTGTTAGTTACATCTTAAGTACCTTTGGAAGCAGTAATTAATCTTTCACAGTTCACTGGGCTGCTAGGAGGTAAGTCAAACATGTTATATTTAGATGGCTCAACTGACTTACCCATAGAGAAGAACACTGAAATCTATGACTTCAAATTCATCCCTGAGAGGTACCCACAGGAAAGACACTCACACTGTCAGGTGCTCCCGCAACAGAATTTGGGAAGTTTTTCCTGAAAAAAAAAAAAAAACTAGATTGGAAATATTTTAAGCTTTGTGAGCCATGTAATTTCTGTGGGAATTACTCAGATCTGCCATCTTAAAGCCAAGGCAGTCATAAGCAATACTAAACAAATGGGTGCTTTTGTCTTCTAGTAAAAGTTTATTTATAAGAACAAATAGTGGACTAGATTTAGCCCACGTCTTGTAGTTTGTTGACCTTTCCTGAGAGCATAAGTTCCACATTTGCTTTCCTGTACTCCTGCTCTTGGTCATTTTAGGAGTTTTCCTTTCTATGATCTACCACGAGTATCTGTAATTGCTTGAGAAAGCTGAAGAGAATCAATTTGGCAATATATTATGGAAATGTGCTTTTGGGGCCCACCTGCAATTTAGCCCAATGCATATTGATAACCAAAGAAACCAGGAGTTCTGTGGTTCAATCATGTCTAGTCAGGATAGAGACTGAGGTAGGATTGGCAGAAATAAAATTCTTAGAAACACTTTAAATCAGTTAGTTTGGGTTTAAAATGAAGTACTCCGTGCCTTGAGCTTTGTTTAACTCCCTCGGTGAATCCTCTTAAAAAAACACTTATCTCCTCTTTGTTTTCAGTGGGTTATGAAAGGAGTGCCATGCAGAATTATGAAAGAAGACGTAAATAAACTACCTAATATGTTCTTCTGCTTCTCTGTGTCATTGAGTGAAGAAAGGTAAAATAAGACGTGTGAGGAGTACTTATTTATTTAATAACAATAGTTTTGCGTTGAAAACACCAAAAAAAGTGTTTATTTTTCATATTGTGCTAATATGTGTTGTAAACACGTGTTATAATTCTGACTCCTCCCTCAGAGGCAGACAACCATGGTAATTTCTCAACAAAGCACAGTGCTCAAATAAATAGTAAAAACTTGTCAATGTTACAGTCTCCAAAGAAAGAAATCATTTGAAGGAGTCATGTCAGCTACTGCTGAAAGGAAATAAAACCTGTGTACAACCTTGTGCTTCCCCTGTTTGTTTTTATGGTGAAAATGTACTGAAATTTCAGTATCAAACTATATTTGTATCTCTGAAGCATGTTTCATGTTTTGTGACTATATAGAGGTGTTTTAAAAAGTTTTATGTGATGTGATTTTGAGGTCTTCATTTTCATTGTATGAAAATGTGTTGTGATAGCTAACATTTTAAATAAAAGAAAAAATATCTTGAGAATTTCATCATGTTCTTTCATTAACATTTATGTCACGTCAGCAATCTGTCCTTTTAATAGTTGACATATATGTCATCTGTTTGGGCTAAAATGCAGTTTCTTTCTCCACACTTTTTATTTTTTTTTTTTTTGCTAAATCATTTAATATGAGATTATTGCTCAAGAAACTACCACATTTTGGAATTCAGAGTAAAGCCTAAGTTCTGGTTATAGATGCCTACAATTCCCCCTCTTCAAATAAGTTGATAATCTATTTTAAAGATACATTGGCCTGGTTATTTCCTTGTTGAGGAAAAACCTCAGAGCACTACCATTTCAGCCCTGCTTAGAACCCAAGTAGTAAAAAAATGCACAGTGTGTGAGCCCTGCTGGAATGAAGAGATCAAACCAACTCTCACGAAGGTTGTCAGAAGACAATACAGAAAAATAATGGGCTGATAGCATGGCACCGTCCTTGTAATCCCTTCCGACATCTGTAAGAAGGGCTCACTGAACGGCTACCACCCATAACACTCTCCCTAAGCAGAAAGATGCACTTCAGGAATACATGTAGAGCAATGAGAAAAAAACTTACATGTATTTATTTAAAGGGGGAATGTTGGGACTGGGTGGTGGCACAGTGGTAAAACACAATTCTCTGTGAGGCAGACCTACCTGGGAAGGTTCTGTGTTTGAGACCTCCCTGAGCATGTCAAGCACGTGCATACCCATGACCAGGGCTAACTGAGGCTAGGATCATGGCTTCAGGACCCTGCTGGAGTAGTATCTCTATCTTTCTCTTTCTGCCTTTCTTGTTCATGGAAGGAATTAATAAAGGAACTTCAAAAAGAAGGGGAGGGAAAAATTGATAAATGTCCTTGGAATTGCTTTCTAAATGCAGAGTGTAAAATATTGACAAGAGGTAGAATAGGACAAGTGCTGCTCAGTGAAGTAAACTCCAGGAATTTGTCCTGGAATGGTGACTCTTGAAAATCAATAAAACCAATTTGTAGGAGAGAAGAGCTAAAGCCTATTTTAACTTTAATATCTTTACATTTTTTTAAAAGAAACTCTAACTCATTTTTCTTATACCCAGCACATTTAAATATCACAAACTATGCAATGATAAGCAAAATGGAGAACACTTGTCATCTAGAGTCCCATTTGCCAATAGCAATGCTTAGTATCCTACTGAACAATAATACTTGTAATAATTGTAATAAATAGTAATGGCTAAAATTAGATATAAATATGAATAAATATAAAGTTATATATAAACATGTATATTTAATCATTTAATTATGGAAGTATTATTATTACTATTACCATCATTTCACAGATAGGGATATAAACCTTAAGGAAAATGTTAAAGTCAAAGGCTCTATGTGAGGAGTCAGGACTGCAATGAAGTTATTATAGGGGACATAAGAGAGCAAATGAATGTCTAACAATGAAACTGATAAAAACAAATTGATATGTTGATACAGCACAATACTATGCAGTCACATAAAGTGACATTATGATACATCTAATAATGTGAAGCAATGTATATGATCTATTGCTAGACACAAAGAGTATTTCTCTATAATATATGCATACGTATATTTCTTTAGCAGTGTTGCAACACAAGGAACAATGTAGTAGATCAAAGTATGGATTTCAGAGTCAAACTACGCAGGTTTGAATCCTTGCTCCATCACTTACTGGCCTTGAAATGAAGCGCAAGTTCCTGAAATTTCCCTTGCTTTATTTTCTTACCAGTAAAATTGGATAACAGTATCTGCTACATGGAGAAGTGAGTGAAATGATGCACATAAAGCCTTAAGCACATTCTCCTACACACAGCGAGTGTTCCGTGTTATGGTAGCTGTTGTTATTGTTAGCTACTTCCCCAAGTGCCAGTGAGAAAATTAGTTCTATATTTTAGCTACTAAAATTTTTTTATAGGCACACTGAGTAAGCAGCAGCATGGCAATGGTTTTTAAATATTAGCCTTACAAATTAAATCTAGAGCTGTATCACAAATTGTGCAGTACTTTGAGATGTGCATCCCTGCACATATGGTCCCCATAGCCCCTTCCTGTCTGTGCTTCTCCAAATCTCTGCAGCATAGCCCCACAATGTTACAATAAAGGCAGGCATCACGCATGCCTGCTTCCTCTCTAGACCAGGAAACCCTGCAACTACACGAATAGGGAAAGGGAGAGAAGTTCTAGCTTTAAGTTTGTACTCACAAAGCATTTGCTACTACTTTTCCTCTGTGGCATAATCTCATTAACTAAAATCAGTTTTTTTCACCTATATATACAATATTCTTCCTTGGATATTTTATTCTATTATGAAACAGCTAAACAATCAAGCTACATAATTATCGATATACTTTATTGTTTCTGTTTCTCATTGATTAATTGATTGACTGCATATTCTCTCTATCTAAAATCAGTTTTCTTCACATCTATACACAATAGTCTCCCTTAAATATTTTATTCTATTATGCAACAGCAAAACAATCAAACTATATAATGAAGTTTATATACTTTATTGTTTATGTTTCTTATTGACTGATTGATTTGAGTCCAGTACAAAAACAAATGATACCCAAAATGAATCATCTGAGGAGGGGCTAATTACAAAAATGTGGGCAGGATGTAGAGAAGCCAGCAACAAAAAGTGATTCTCCATGTTAGCACCCTTGTAAGTCGCTGCTGTCCCTAACCCAGAAGGATCAAGGTGAGTGAGTGTCTATGTGCAAAGGAGCACCTGGCAGCTGTGTTTTCAGGAGGAGGAGCCAAGACAAGGTGACTGGGCATAGGTGAAGGGAGGAAGGAATATCCCAACCTCACTCTCTCCCCAGCCCCCTCTGTCTGCTCTCCTCTTAGTGCCTCCTATTGGGCAAACTCACCTGGGAAACAAAGGCTTAGGAGCCCTTCATTCTGTCCACAGAGGTAAGTAGCATATACAGAACACCATAGCATATGGAGAAAGCTCACAGGTGCATTAAAAGGGGAGAAAGGCAAATAGTCAACACATTTTGTTCTCTATTATATTGAGTCAAAAAAAAAAAAAACTAGTAAGTAGAAATTCGAACATGAAATATACAGAGTAAAACTACAAGCCTTTTCTGACACTGCTGCTACCTGCCAGGGATATAGTTTCACATGAACTCATCCAAATAAACAAAACCAAGAATATTTATTTCAACTGGAACTCATGCTGAAATCTCTCCTTTTAACCTCAAATCATTATGAATTATTCTTTTAAAGGAAAATTTAAAAGAAATTAGTGGGACCAGCAGATAGCCTAATGATTACATTGCTGGACTCCCACAGAGTTGAGCGTGGTTCAAGTCCCAGACCAGGTGGCTTAAAACTCACACTGGGTACGTATGCATGACTGCCCAAGATCCCAAAAGGAGAATGGAGGAGAAGGGATTGCAGTGTGGCAATTGTAGTGTGACCTTCACCTCTGGAGGGTGAATTTTTGCTTTCTGTCTCTCTGACAAGTGCATGTGCCCTATGGCAAAAATCTCTGAAAGGAAGAAAAAAGAAAGAAAGAAATTAGTAAGTATATAGAGATTTGTGAAAAACAAAGGAAGGACTTTTGGTGGACCACAAAGTATGAAAACCCCTAAACAAAACAAAACAAAAAAAAGCCAGCACAATAGAAGCCACAGCAGAAAGTCACAGCCCCGCCAGGAAAGTGGAGAGGCTGCAGGGAAAAGTGCCAACTCTACCATACGGACTGACCCTTACAAAAAACAGACTTATCATCATCAATGCTGGATGCCATGAGATAAGGGAACACAATTTTTTCATCTTAAGGAAAATAATATTTAACCAAATTATCATTTACAGTGAGAGTAAATTTGTGGAAGGAGAACAACCAATAAAAATCAATTAGGTTTATTAAACCCATCATAACATGAGAACAGTTCAAGATAGCAGTTCCGCTGGAGAGCTGATGGCCTGAGGATTTGTATGTTAGATTCATGATGGTCCATCGACATTCTGTTATTTTCTGAGAATCATTTACTGTTCTAATTCTCAGAAGGTGTGGGGAACTTAGGTTGCATTACTCATGGACAGAACTTAGGAACTACAAGACTAGAGCTAAGGTTTTAGCAGTAGTTAATCAATTTGGGTTCAACAGGAAGGGTACAGAGGAAGATGTGAAGGCTCCGCTCTTACTAGGGTCAGTGGGATAAATTCAGTCATTCGTCCAGCTTCTGGTACAAATTAAGGGCATTTTTAAACATATCAGACTTCATAAAGTTTACATCTACCTACTTGGGAAGAATAACTAGAAGATATATTTCAGCATTAAGAAAATTAAATCTGGAGAAAAGAATTAAGAAGAAACATGGTGAACAAAATTATCATCTTTGAAATATTGCTAAATCAGTTGTGTACGTGAGTTAAATAAACAATCTGGAAATAGAATTCTGTAAGCTATCAATAGGTGAGTTACTTGAGGAAAAAGAAAGAATATGTAAATAGGAATAAAAGCATGCTAAATTTCTTGTTTGTTGAAAAGGACAGGAATAAATATTCTAGACCTTTTTTAACAGAAGAAAATATGTTTCTGTGTGTGAGCTAAAAATGTGCACAGACTGCAATGAAAAGAATATATGAATATGTAACTATCACAGCAGAAAGGAGAAAAGGTTGCAAATCACAATCTAACCAACAGAAGGCAGGAAAGCTTAAAAAAATACTTCATAAATAAAAAGCAGAAAATATTACCCAGAACTTACCCATATTTACAATAAATGAGGAGAGTTTTATCAGACCTATTGAAGACAAAGATGTTGGACGAATAAAAAATAAAATCCACAGTCAGCTCTGTGGCACAGTGGTAACGTGCTACTCAAGAGAAGCTGCTGGGACCTGGGGCTCATCCCCTTCCCCCCCTCGACTTTGGACTCTCAAGTTTGTTGCTTGGGACTTTGAGACAATCTCCCTGCCTCATCTGGACACCCATTCCAGCTAAGGGCTTTGC